TTGCAGACTCATTCCAGTTGTAATGTGAAGTAATGGTGTTTTCATTTACATTTCTGAGCAGCATTCCATTGTATGTTTTATAGCCTTCCTTTGAATATGTGGGTTGTTTCTGGTTTGGGGCTACTGCAAATCAGTCTTCTGTGAGCATTCTTTGTACCAGTCTTTGTATGGATGTATTCTTTCTTTTTCCTTGAGTTGCAAGTAAGGGATCTGCTGGACCCTGTGGTAGGATATCTTTAGCTTTTAGAACAATCCCATACTGGTTTTCAAAGTAATTGCTGTTTTGCATTATCCCAAAAACATATAAAACTTCTGTTTCTTCTACTTGCTTGTCAGCACTGTAATCAATTTTTTTGTTTACTTTCAACCATTCTGATAGATATGTGGTGTTATCTCATTGTGTTAATTTCCATTTCCTTAGTAACTAATGACAATGAGTATCTTTCATGTCTACATTTGCAAGCTGTGTATATATCTATTTTGTGTGAGTGTGTGAAGTATATGGTCAGATCTTATAAATTTGGTTGTTTTCTTATTGTGGAATTATGAGGATTTTTGAAATTTTGGACACAATTTCTTTATCATCTTTATTATTTATAAATATTTTCCTCTGTTCTGTGACCTGCCTTTTCATTCTCTTAGCTATGTCTTTTTAAGAGCAGAAGTTACTAATTTTGATGAAGTATAATTTATTTATTTGTTATTTTTTAGATTATGCTTCAGATGCCATGTTTAAGCTAGCCTTGCCTAACCAAAGACCATAGTGCTTCTTTCAGTTTTATAGTTTTAGGTTCTACATGTAGGTGTATGTTACATTTTCAATTTTGTAAAAAAATTTTTTTGTTGCTGTTCTAATTTTTATGCATAGGATATTTAGTACTTCCATCATTTATTAATGTGACTATTGCTGACCCACTGATTTCCCTCTGGAATTTCATGAAGAATCAGTTGGCCATATATCTGTGGTTTTATTTCTCCTGTTCTGTTGCATAGATCTCTTTGTCTCTTTGCATTGTGCTGCCTTGAAAGGTTTAGCTAAGTCTTGAAACTAAGTTAATCTTTCCACTTTTTCCTTCTTCTTAAAAATAGTTCTGGCTGTTCAAATTAGGTCCTTCTCATTTTCATGTGAATTTTAGAGTAAGTTGGTTAATTTCTACAAAATTCTACTAGGATTTTGATTGCAGTTTGATTCTGTAGATCTGTTTGAGGAGAGTGTCTTAACAACATCAGTCTTTTTTTTTCACCCCCTCCGGAACTGGTAATCGAACTCATGACCTTGCGCTTGCTAGGCAGGAGCTGTGCTGCTGAGCTAAATCCCCAGTCCCCAACAACATCAGTCTTAACAACATTAGTCTACAGAATTATACTGGGATTCTACTGTAGATTCTGTTTGAAGAGAATGTCTTAGCAACATTAGTCTTAACAATATTAGTCTTCTGATCTGTGACTATGATATCTATATTTATTTAGATTTTTAAATTTTCTTCTACGGGTATTTTGAAGTTTTCAGTGTATGGCTTTTTTTTTGCCGGGTTTATTGAAGATTGTTTAATTTTTATGCTGCTGAAAATGGTATTTTGAGTTTTTGATTTATTATCTCAATTTGTCATTGTTGGTATACAGAAATATCATTTATGTATTGATTTTTTATGTTCTGTAGTCTTAATAACTTGGTTATTAGTTTGAGGAGCTTTTTTTCTGTAGCTTCCACTGAACTTTCTACATAGGCAATCATATTAAAATAGCACATAGAGTAGTATGTCTTAATACCCAATCCAGATACATTTTGTGGATTTTTACTTTATTGCACTGTAACTTCTAATCCAAGATTGCAGGGTATGGTGAGGATAGGTATACTTTCCTTTTTTGTGAACCTACAGGGAAAACATTCAGTCTTATGGAGTGTGATGTTAGTGTTACATTTCTCATAGAGCTCTTCACTAGACTGAAGTTCCCTTCCGTTCTTAACTTTCTAAGTTTTTATCAGGAATGGATTTGGATTTTTTTCAAATGCAATTTCTTCATCTTTTCAGGTGATCCTGTAGTTTTTTAGTTTAATACAGTGGATTGCAGTGATTTTGAGTGTTAAAACAAATATGTAGTCCTGGGATAACCCTACTTGTTATGATGTGTTATATTGTTGGGTTTTATTTGGTAGAATTTTGTTTATATCTTTTACATATATGCTTATAGGGGATATGATCTGTCAGTTTCTCTTCTCACAGTGGATCTGTCTGGTTATGGTATCTAGGTAGTGCTGACTTCTTACATACTAAAGATTCCATCCTTTATAATTTCCTGGAAGAATTTGTATATGAGCAGTATTTTTCTTTCTTAAATATTTAGTAGAAATCACCAGAGAAGCTCCTTGGGCCTATTCCTTTCCTTGTGGGGCAACTAGAGAAAAGATTTCTTTCATTCTTTCTTTTTTTAGTTCCTCAGCACTTTACATATGTTGTTTACTGTTTTCTCATTTGCATTGTCTCTAATAAGAAATCTGCTGTCATCTTAACCAGTGTTTCTTCCTCTGTATGTGTTATATCTTTTATTTTGCTGCCTTTACTGTTTTATCTTTTTCTACTAGTGTTGAGCAACTTGGTCATGATATCTTCCTATATTTTTATCTTTCTTATGTATCACTTTTTTTGAGATTTTGGATCTATGCATTTATAGCATTATCAAATTCAGAAAATTTTGCCATTATTTCTAAAAATGTGTTTTTGGTCTCTTTCCTCTTCAATTATTGATATATTTGGCTTCTTGAAGTTGTCCTACAACTCACTGAAGCTTTCTTCGTAAAAGAAAAAAGAAAAAAACTCTTCTTTTTGAGTTTGATTCTTTCTTTCGTTCATTATGCACTTTACTTTTTGGGAGATGATCTGTTTGGTATCTCTGTAAGTATTCTTTGTTCTGGTATGCAGTTAAAATACTTAAATGATCCATTCATATTCTGCTTTACAAATTGTTCACTAAAGAACTAGTCTAGGGCTAATTATTCTTCCGTCCTAGGAAGGCAAGGCCTTCTATGTATGTTCTACCCAGGCTTGTGAATTGAGTCTTTTCCATCTGGATAGTGGAGCAGGCAAGATTGCTGTCCTTTCTTGAGCGCTGGTCACTCTGGCTCCTTCCTTGGCCATAGGGAGTTCCCTCACTTGGCTGTGCTGGGCATTATTAGGAAGGAGAACACAAGTGAGGCCCTTTCTCCTTGCAGCTGTTTCCTTCAGTATTCGAGAGTCACCGCTAGGGTGTTTCTGTCCTCCTTCTCCCTGGTGACAGGGTTCATTTCAGTTGTTTCCTGTCTCTCAGGAATCAGTTTTTCAGGAATCGTGACCCGTGTTTTGAAAATATCATTTTATGTGTTTTGTCTTTACTTTAGCTGGTATAAGCAGAAGGGCAAATCTAGTCTTTATTACTCTATCTTGGCTAGCAGAAGTCATGCCTTTAAATTTTGCCCAGTTTTCTAGTTTAAAAATATTTAAAATTCTAGGTGGAAGAATTCATCAGTCTTTAATGTTTTCTGTTGTTGAAATCTTGTTTACAAACAGTTCTGTGTTTGAAAGCTTACAAAAATATTTACTTATGTTTTCCAAAGATTTTACTTGTTGTTATGGTTTGTGTCTGGATGTCCTCCCGAAGCCTCATGCAGTCATGTGGGGCAGGGCAGGCTTTTTGGAGGCAGCTGAATCTAGAGTTTGTGATTGATTCATTGTCTAGTGCTGGGATTGGGGCTTTGAATGTTATACCTGCCTTTGGGCCGGTAGCCTCCATACAATTTAAGGGCAGAAAAGAGGCCCCAATTTTTGCTCTTGTGGCATTTGCCTTCTTCTGCCACCATGAATTGTTGCACTTTACCATGTGCCACTCTGCCTTGGAGCCAGCAGATTATGGACTGAAACCTCCATAAACTGTGAGCTAAATAAACCTTTCCTTCCTTTACTTTGGGCGTCTTGTATTTTGTCTCAGCAACGAGAGAAAAGTAACTAAGACACTTGCATTATTTTTATATTGAGATGCAGTCAGCCCTTTGTATTCAACAAGTTCTACATTCTTAAACCCAACCAACTATGGATTAAAAACAATTTTTTTAAAATTTGCAACTGTACTGAACATATACAGTTTTCTTGTCATTATTCCCTAAGCAATGCAGTGTAACAGCTATTTACATAGAACTTACACTGTCTTAGGTATTATAAATACTCTAGAGATGATTTAAAGTTTACAGGAGGATGTGCATAAGTTCTGTGGAAATATGACACCATTTTCTGCAAGACACTTGTGCGTCCTTGAATTTTGGTTCTCCAGGAAAGCCCTAGAACCAATCCGCAGTGACACAGGAATGATTGTATTTTACTTACATGGAACCTACATTATAGACAAATTGCAAAGTAGTTAAAGTGGGAGGAAAACACTTTTAATTGCATCACCAAACACAGTGTAAATATACATTGTAACATATTTCTCCCGTGTATTTTTCTGTGCCTCTGTTTTCTATGTAGTTGTAATGTCGGGGTGCAGCATTTAGTATGTTTGTCCAGTGTGTGCATCATCAGCATTCCGTTTGTTACTCTGTTGTCTTCACAGTCCTGTTGTAATGATTGAATTATATTTCACCACATGAATATATGGCAATTATAGTGCTTTCGCCTGTGTTATTAAGCATTTTAGTTACTTCTTCTCAAACAGGATAGATGAACCATAATTACTAGGCAGGGCTTATTCATGGAATATTAACTTTGCTGGCAACTCTAACTAGGTTAGGGCCCTAATTCAGTGTGCCGTTGCATCCCTCTCCATGACCTTTACTACATTCAATGGAACTCTGACTGCAGAAAAACGAGAAGTAAAAACACTAGTTCTTACTAGCCCAGTCCATTTCTTGTTACTCTTGTACTTTAGTTATAAATAGAAAGACTTTTAAAAACAGCTTATAATTTATATTTTAGTATGTATGTAACATCTCAATTATTTTCTAATTAGTATTCATGCTTGGTTATTTTTAGGAAAGTTACTGTTCAAGTTGCTGTTTCCAAACACATCACAATGCAGAATTCTTTATCAGTACCACCAAAAGATCACGGTAAGATTAAGCCACACTGAGGAAGATGGTAATGTATATGTTATAATAAATAATTTAATGTCACTAACCTCCAACCATTAGGTAACTTACTTCCTAGAATTAAAAACAAAAATTATAATTATATATGAAAGTTTATTCATTTGATAAATTTATTAGGCGTATACAGATTCCAGAGTCACAAGGACATGTCACCATTATTAGACTGATAACTTCTTCAGAGCAAAGCTGTCTCGTTCCATGCAGAGCTCACAACCCATTAGTTGGCAGCTAGCTGGCACTAGTAGGTATCAGTGGTATTAGGAGTGTTGACTTCATTGAAGCAGAATGACTCAGGTGTTTTAGTGAATAAAATACACACACATACACAAAACATGCGTACATATGTTCGTGCACATACGGAGAAGAAGATATTTGCTTATACATTTCTTTGACCTGCTTCTTTCCATGCCCATTTTAAAAACAGATAAAAATCATTTCCCCTTTATACAATTCATCAAAAATAATGATTTTTTTGGTACCTGAAATTAAACCAGGTCCTTTCCACTGAGCTTTTATTTTTATCTGAGACAGAATCTCACTAAATTGCTCAGTTTCCTGGGCTGGGCTTGAGCATGCAATCCTCCTACCTCAGCCTCCTAGAGTGCTGGGATTACAGATGTGCACCATGACACCCAGCTGTCTTGATTTTAACAGAAGCCTCTGAAACTTTTAGAAAAACAGTTTGCACATGGAAGTAGAGTCATTTCTTAATAAAGTATAATTAAACTGTCTTCACTACAAAGGGCACACTCTAACCAGCAGGAGGAAAAAATAAATCTTTACCCTGCCCCTATCTGATCTCTTCCACAAATAAAGAATTTTAGTTGTGAGTATGAGAGAAAAACGTTATCTTTAACGATGCAAAACTGGACTTGCTAGTTCTTTGTGTTTACACACAGAGAGTCTTTACTCCCGAGAGAAAGTGCTCTGGCCTTCCTGGAGCCCCCAAAATCATACTTCTGTCTCTTGTTTAAGCCATCTGAGATTGGGACTAGACCAAGACCCCGATAGTAACAAATCATAGCAACTTTCCAGACTTGACTGGGAGGTTACATAATATAATCATTTTAGATATTTAGCCCAATCCTGGCCTCAAATAAAAACTCAGTATATTCTATTAAAAAAATGGAGGACTGAGGCTGTGACTCAGTGGTAGAGCTCTTGCCTTCCATGCAGAAGGCCCTGGGTTTGATCCCCAATACCGCACAAAAAGGGCTCTCTTAGGAAAGGATGTAGCAATTTGTGAAAGAAGGGGGTTTGCTCTAATAATCCTTAAAAGAACCAAGCGCTCTGATCTCTTGACCAGTGAAAATGCCATATAACTCTTAAAACCTGGGGTCTGCGTTTGTAATTCAGTTCTGCCACTTAATTGTACAACCTTATGTGCATCACTTGACAGTAGTTTCCTCATCTGTAAATCTGTAAAATGAAGAAGTCCCACCCTATAGGGTATGTGGAGACTAAAGATTTATATAAAACATTTAAAATATTGTTGATTGCAGAGTAGGCACTTAGAAGATGATAGTGACTGTCACTCTTACAACTAGTTGTTAATCTCTGGGCTTTCTCCCTCTGGGAGCTGAGCAATAAGCTGAGCATGAGGCTGCCTCCTGCTTGGCATGCCACACGGTCTTACAAGGCCAAGCGTGATCCAAGGGGACCAGTGGCAAGTTAGCAAGGAACAGACCTCTTGAACTGGATCTCTTACAGGCACTGGGCAGAGGGAGACTCATTATCCTTCAAACTGACTTCCCGTCTGCCAGTGGGAACAAGGGCCCCCCTAGACTCGGACGTTGCCACAGTCTGAAATGGAAGGACTGGGGGGGTGGGGGGCTGGGAGGGCACCTCAGAACCCCTAAGTCCTAAAGTCAGGGGAGAACGTCATGACTGCCTGGGTCCCAAGGCTGCAGATCTTACAAAGAAACCACTCCTTCAAAAGCACAGAAAGTTTTTCTTTGATTCATTCTTTTTTTGATTTTCCTATTTTTTATTATTTTTATCTTTCCTTTATTGGGTTTTTGCAGGGATTGGTTTTTTCTCCTTTTTTCCTTTTCTTAGTGTCTTTTCTTTTTCCCTCTAACTTTTTTTGTTGTCCTTCTTATCTGTATTTTATTTCCTGAGTTTTTTCTGTTTATCGTTTTTTTACTTGTTCTTTCCTGTGACTGTTCTCTAAAATTATTAATTTCCTTTTATTCTTCAAGGACTCCATGTTTCAGTCTTCTCTTCTCCTTCTCAGATCCCTTTGATATAGTTGTCAAAACTTAGGCCAAATACACTGCAACCTCCCATCCCAAGGAAATGGAAATGGTTGGATCCTGAGACAGAGGTAAAGGCCAATAGCCACACCTCTAGGGGCACCACTGAAAGAAGAGTAGACATTAACTAAAGAGATCTCCGGACAAAGAACAAAGTTTTCCACTACAATCAGCCAGAGTTTCAACACAAAAACACAAATAAGCTCTCTGTCTTCTATCCCAAACCAGGTGGATGCAGCACAGGCTGTGCGCCTGCAGAGCTGAGGGAGGCAGCCAGTGCTGCCACCACCACTGTCCCCAAGGTCATAGCCCCTGTGCCTGTCTAAAGTCGCTGTACTCAGGCTACCCGTGCCTCTGTGGGGCAGCACACATCTGGTCCTACCCACTCTGAGTAGAGACCCCGTCAAAATCCAAAAGATTTTGGTCAGAGGCAACAACCTGACCTCTGAGATTTTGAAGCCAGTTTCATGAGTCTATTGGACAGAATAACTAATGGTTCTCTAACTGAAATAAACCAAACAGGAGCAACCTTATGCAGTGTTATCAGCCTGGCCTTCAGTGTGATGGATTTGTGGAATATGACTGTTGTGCTTGATAAATTCTGCCAGCTTGAGGAGTCCAGAGGCTGGGCTAAGTGACTCGGCAGTTCTGCATCCTGGGGTGAAAAGGACCTGCCCTTCCTGCCCTAGGATGTTTTTTGAGCCTGTGCACGAGGAGGGCACTGAGACGGTATGGGCATGGGCGGATAGCCAGCATACAGTGTAAGGGAGGGAAACAGGCTTGCCCTCCCCCTTTTAGCTCTTGCTACTTTTGCTGTCTTCTGCCACCTTGAAGTGTTGCCCTGTGCCATGCCACCCTGCCTTGGAGCCAGCTGATTATAGACTAAAACCTCCACAAACTGTGAGCTAAAAAAACCTTTCCTTCCTTAATTTTGGGTGTTGGGTATTTTGTCTCAGCAAGGAGAGAAAAGTAACCAAGACAGTAACTGTGGTGTCCTTTGTAGCATTTTGCTTGTTTCCAGAGACTTTGCCTAATACTAAGATTAAGGGTGGTAGACTAATTAACCTGGAAGAAAACATTTCAAGGCAGTCAATTGTTGAGGCAGTGATATGGCTATTGTTGGGAGCTTTTAGCCAGATTTATGTTGAGAATGAAGAGCAAAGAGCCTAGCTGGTTGAATTAAAATGTTGTGAGTTTGGCCTGAAAGGAAGCTCCAGTAAGGCTGTGGACTGCAAAGATAGAACTGAGGAGCTCTCCATTGCTGAGAAGGAACAGGAGAATATAAAAGAAGGCCTGAGGGTATCACTAGGATCAGCGAGTCTCCACCCTTTGCATTCTCAAACCTGCAGTGGTGAAAGACTTTGCTTTGAGAAGAAAGCCGCAGAGCACCATGTTTTAGATGGCGGAAGCATAGAGAATTTGTTCCTCAGAATCAGGTTCCACGCACCCAGTGATCCAGGCACTCCACCCCTATGGCCAAGAGAGGAACACTTGGCTACTGCTCCAGGTGGCAGCAGACCTTGGCGTCATCCATGTGGTGCTGGTTTTAGGCAGATACAGAATTCAAGAGTACTGAGGTTAAGAAGACTTTCACCTAGCTTTTAGAAGGCCTGGGAGGCCAGGCAGTGTGCCCTAAGAGGGCAGTATATGCAGCTGTGAATGAGAAGCCAGAGGTTCAGTGGGGACCTCAGAAGTATGGAAAAGCCAGGAATGTAGATTGCCTAAGAAAAGCTGCAAGGAGGGAGCAAAGCAGGCCCAAGAGAGAAGCTGTGGGAGTTGTAACCACCAGAAGTGCCATTGGGTTGGAGTCACGGGAGCCCTTTGGAGCTCACAGTGTGCCACAGGTTGCTTCAGATGCTGGACATGAACTTTAGGACGTAATGTTTCCCCTGCTGGATTTTGGACTTGCTTTGGTCCCATTCCTTTGTATTCCCATTTGTAACTTTTGGAATGAAAATGCTTATTTTGTGCCACTGAATGTTGGAAGTGTCTAACTTTTCATTTGTACGGGGGCTTGTAACTAAAGAGTTTGCCTTACATCTCGGAGGACACCTCGACCTGGACTTTCCAGCAATGCTGAAACTGTTAGGACTTTGGCAACACTTGCAGATGGACTAAATGCCTTTTGCATAAAGGGCTGTGCATGAGTCTTTGGGGGATCAGGAGTGAAATGTTATGATTCTAATGTAATATAGTGTTGACAGACCTAATGCTGGTTCTTAAGGCTGTTAAACCTGTTTTGTAAAATTCAAGTTGTGAAATGATAAGAACAAAATCTTGTTTCTGGAAACTGGGTTAAAGAAGTGTGTCAGGTTGCCAAGTTGACAAGGGGTGGATTGTTATGGTTGATACACTGTGTCAGCTGGAGGAGTCTAGAGGCTTGGCTGAGTGACTCAGCATTTCTGCATCCTGAGCCTGTGCACTGATACGGTTTGGGCATGGGCTGTTAGCCAGCATACAATGTAAGAAAAGAGGCTTGCCCTCCCCCTTTTAGCTCTCGCTGCTTTTGCTGTCTTGTGCTGCCTTGAAGTGTTGCCCCTGTGCCCTGCCACCATGCCTTGGAGCCAGCTGATTATAGACTGAAACCTCCACAAACTGTGAGCTACATAAACCTTTCCTTCCTTAATTTCGGGTGTTGGGTAGTTTGTCTCAGCAATGAGAGAAAAGTAACCAAGATGATGACTGTAGTGTCCTTTGCAGCATTAG